GACATGTCATGCTCCTTCAGGGATAGTTTATCCACCTTTAGTCCCCATTCTGCACTCAGCTCTTACCTGCGGCTTCCAGAAGCTGTCAGCATGCAACAGCAGCCACACCCCATTGTATTCCATGTTTACACTTTGGCAGCGCTTGAATGTGAACGTGATTGACAGGGGAACGCGGCTATAAATAGATTTTATTTTTTTAGACATTGAAAAGAGGAAGACAGGTCAGAAATGTAAGGGTACAATTTGCATGTGTTTGCAAAAATCAGTATCAATTCTTTGAACGGTAAACGGTGGAGAAATAACCATTAACAGTACAGTGGTACCTCGGGTTACGTACGCTTCAGGTTACATACGCTTCAGGTTACAGATTCCACTAACCCAGAAATAGTACCTCAGGTTAAGAACTTTGCTTCAGGATGAGAACAGAAATCGTGCCCTGGCGGCATGGCAGCAGTGGGAGGCCCCATTAGCTAAAGTGGTGCTTCAGGTTAAGAACGGACCTCCAGAACGAATTAAGTACTTAACCCGAGGTACCACTGTATAGTCCTCTGTGCAAAATATCCGTTCCTTGGTCCCCTTTGACAACAGCAGCAGCAGCAGCAGGGATGCATATTTAAACTTATTTTTAAGACCTCTCAGTAAGCATCAGCCTTGCCTGCTCTTGTTTAGTGTTCACATGGCAGTTTAATTAGAGGGTTTCAGTGGTTTCGCCTGGAGATCAAAATCTTTCACTTGCATGCTAGGGCTGTTTGAAATTCTGGAATGCTTTCCAGGGAGATTTAAAAGCCGAGGATCAGCACTCCTTTAACCTCAGTCCTGCCCAGCGTGCTTTTTGGACGTTTCGGCAGTTCATGGGACACTATAGAGCATTGCTTGGGGGACTTTGAGAAGCAACTGTTTCTGTTTAGCAGCATGAGGCTGCACTGAGTCTTGCAGCTTTTTCTTTTCTTTTGGTCTTAACGCAAATGAATCCAACTGAGGATAATGCCAAAATATTTGATCTCCAAACAGTAGAATTAAAAATGCATGGCTGTTTAAGTCTTTCTAGGCCTGCTCTGCAGTCTTCCATTGATTTCAATAACTGGAACAATCCACTTGGGGATGGATAGTAACTTGGGTGGCAATTCTGACTCGCTAAGGAATCTAGTGCTGGGCTTTTTCAGTTCCTTGCTATTTTTAAATGTATTTTGCAACTAGATAAGAAGACAATAGTGTGATACAGAACATGGTGCACAGAGGTCAGGATGGATTAATTGTGAAATGTTTGGTGGAATGAGTCCTGGAATTTTTCAGCTGTCCAGTGTGGTGGGCAGTAGCGTATGGATAATGTTTCTTTGTTGGCGTGCATTTTCTCTATCCTGAATCAAAGCATCCTTTCTTGGGGTTAACTGCCCTTGTAAACGAACAGCAAGCCTTGGGAAACGAATGGTAGTAGGTCTGCAAAACTCCTAAACAAGAGCATTTACATCTCCAAGAAGTTGATTATCATCTACTTTGATGCAAAGCAGGCCAGCTATTGTGTGTAGTGTTGTACTGTATTATTGGATCCATTCCTGTTAGATCTGCACCAGAAGCCAGGCTTGAGGGCTCTGTAGCCAGGGAGTCGGAACAGAACGTCCAGTTCAGGATGTCTGCAGTCCCCTCCGCAAGTCACGCACGTGACACCCATTAGTACTGATGGGGTGGTATGTCGCATGTCTGGGAGAAAACAAACCCTGCCAGGTTTTGTTCTACAATGCTGTTTGCTGCAGGCTCAGCTCACTGCCTTGTGGAACCAGATCCCAATGGAATTCGTCAAGCAGTTTGGTCCCTCTGACAGAGCCGGCCCATGGCTTTCTTTTAACCATCCACTTTTGCAGGGTTCCTGCATCCTAGTATTTCTCATTCCACACTGCAGCGGTGAACACATGTGAGATGATATGGGATGTTAGCAAATAATTTTGTGATGCAAGTGTAATTAAATAATCACATTGCAGCGGAGCAAAAACAATGCAGGATTTTTGATAAATTGGCACCTCTCGTAGGTGGAAAATGAAAGACAGCTGTTGCTGTGATGATCACCTATTGAACAGTTTCCATAATACAAGGAACAACAATAATTCCCTTAATACAAGGGAAGCTCCTTTCCTTTAAGCATGAGAATTTTCAATCATTTCAATCATTTCCTTGCTTATCCACATAAATGCTGAATTCACTCCTTAAAAAACAAAATTAAAAGTCTACGAAGTCTAATATATGCAAGGCTACCTTGTCTCCTTCTGCATTCTTTCCACTTTAAGGATTCCTTCTTTTTGAAGCATGTTCAGTCGCACTCCCCAGGATTGACAAAACAGCTCATGTTGAGGGTTTGTATTTTTAATAGGACAAATAAGTTTAGGCCATCACAAGGTTTATTTGAAAAGTTGTAGGATCACAGTGAGCAGGGAGGTGGCGCTGCAAGGAATGATGTGTCCCATTGTTCTTCACAAATCTTCTCACCCTTATTCTCCAGAGATAAACAGTATTGTGTGGGTCGGCCATTATGTAATAGGTATGGATTGCGGCTCGAAGCCTCTTCTGCTTAGAAAGAGCAAGGTGCATGAGGCTCCTGCTCCTGCACACAGGAAATGAATAAGATGGTGGTCCCAAATCCATCATCACCTGGAAGGAGATGCAAGCAAAAGGGGATGAAGAGCTGTTGCAGGAGAAAACCAATAGCAGCTGGGTGGAGATGCTTTCACACCACCTGCTAAACCTATGTAACACCGCTGTATGCACGTTTTGAGAGGGAACTTGGTTTTCCCCCTGTACACCCTAATCCAGGCTGAATCAGTTCTGACTGGGTTTCATAATATATTGCAGACTCTGCATTGGAATTGCTTATGTAGTGTATAAAATTTGCTGAAGCGAGGATCATTCATCTCTCTCTTTTTTTTTTTTAACAGATAAACCTCCTTCTTACTCGAAACCTCCTGAAGGATTAGCACGTAAGTTAAACATGCCTCTCTCTTCTCCAGCAATGCACCAGAGCGTTCTGGTGGTAAAGTGTCGAACTGCTAATCAACTGAAATCTTTCACTTCATAAGGCGTTCATTTGCATTTTAAAGGACCTAGAATCAAATGTAATTACTTGCGTGTCTGTATTATCTATCACCGGAGAGGGATCCCCCTGGTGTTTAGTCCTGAAGCTATTCACAGCAGAGGCAGAGCAAGTAGTTTTTATGGAATATAGTACTTCTGCAGAAAGCCATTCTGGAGAGGTAGCAAGTGTTAGGTTTGGAACGGAGGACTCGATTTCAAATCTTCACTTTGTGGCATTGGATCACACAGAGTTGTTCTGAAACTAAGGGCCTAACTACTTATTACATTACAGAACTTCTTCCCTCCCGGGAAGTCACTCAGAGAGAGAGATAGAATTTTTAAACAGAGAAGGAGCAGTGACTATGGTATTTGGGGGTTGTTGTGGGGTTTTTTTACTCCAAAGTGGCTTTTCCTAAAGAGAGATGAAAGGAGGGAGGGCTGGATTTTGAGGTTCAGTTATGCATATGTAACATGTAGATGGGCTCTTACAAGCTACTCTGGATTCCTTGGGAAATAAATGAGCTATAAATGCAGGCAACAAGCAAATACAATCAAGAGTAGTGCAGAAAGGAGCTTATATAACAGGATTCAGCAACTGGCCTGAATCCAGTTCTCCAAGACAAGGGCATGGAACCTGTCATTGAACTTCCACTCCCATCAACTACAGCCACCATGGGAAACAGTCAGGGATGATGGGAGTTGTACAACATCAACAACATCTGGAAGGCCACAGGTTCTCCATCCCTGCTCTGAGAGGTGCTGCTTTATGCTCTGGTGCGTTCGCGCACACACATCAGTATAGATGTGGACATTTGTGGCATTTGAGGGCACAGAATTGTCTGTCTGGCATCTTTGGTGGCACAGGAACTCGTATGTTAGAGTGGCCATTCAGGGAAGCTAGTTGCAAACATAAAATATATAATAAGGCCTCTGGTTTCTTGATTAGCTCCAGATGTAGTAGTTAATGTATTTTGTCACTGAGCCCCTAGTCCCTAGAAATAATACATAATAAAACTGAGTCTTAAAAGAAATTAATTAGGATTGCATCATGTACATGTGTCTGTATGAAAGAAGTAAAAGATCAGGATGAGTGGAAGTTGCTGTCGTTTTCCAGCATGTGTTCAGAGCGATGCATTCAGGGACGAGATGCACTCTCGTACAAACTGCCCTGCCTCTCCTGTTGGGAAAGCTCAATATTATGGACTGGAACTGATTTCCATGATGAAACCATCTGCCAAAAGTGGAAAAAACACAATTGTTTCTATTTATGCATTTGCTGACTTTCAAGCTGGCACCGCCTCCCAGCTTAACAGCCTTTCCGCTCCCCACCTAATCGACTGAAGATGCTGGGGAGCAAAATTGGCAGGGCACTAGTTTAATTATTTTTATTTTTAAATCCCTCCCTATCCCAAAGGCACATACTTGAAGGATATGAGAATTTAAAAATAAGTCTGCTAACATTAGAAAATAAGTTATTTTAGTCCTACAAACTGAAAACAAGCGGCAGCTAGCAGGAAATGTAGTGGGCCTAAAACTTGAGCTGGCTTTAGGTGGCTCAGGGCCACATTTTCAACCGCATCTAACTTCCACGCTTTGTTCCCATGGCTCATACACCGTTGTCACGCTGCCAGATGTGCTGAGTTCTGGAGGTTAGTCTTTCCTTCAAGTTGGCATTGGGTCCAGAAATATTGGTGCACTCTTGAAGTGCAATACAGTGGCTCGTTTCAGCAGGCAGTTGCGGTTGGCAGACCAATCCTATCTGCTCTCAGAGTGGCCTACTAGCAGTTTCCCCTGCATTACAGTGATACCTCGGGTTACATACGCTTCAGGTTACAGACTCCGCTAACCAAGAAATATTACCTTGGGTTAAGAACTTTGCTTCAGGATGAGAACAGAAATTGTGCTCCGGCAGTGCGGCGGCAGCAGGAGGCCCCATTAGCTAAAGTGGTGCTTCAGGTTAAGTACCGTTTCAGGTTAAGAACAGACCTCCAGAACGAATTAAGTTCTTAACCTGAGGTACCACTGTACTGTATTTGGTGCTATTTTTCTGGGGAAAAAGATGCCAGAACTCACCGCGAACACCTCCCTTGTTCTCTTAGAACGGCCACGGAACCCACCTGAGAGGTGCCGGAAATGAGTTCCAGAGAGGAGTGGCTGAAAATAAGCCTTGACTCTGTTTATTTATAAGAAATATTTGTATGCCACTATTCAGTTAAGAAAAATAATAGTTGCTGTTTACCATACATAGGGAGAGGCCCAAAGGCAGGTGGGCATGAAAGGAGGCACAGGGTCTGTTTTTGGCAAAGGAAGGAGGAGGAGAATAAATTTGAGTTCCCAGTTGATGGGCTCATGGGCTACTAACTGCTGAACACTGATAATCAAAATGCATAGGGAAGCACACTTTTTGTTTAGAATGCGCTCTCTCTCTCTCGCTCGCTCTGTAATTCCTTTTTTAAAAAAGGATTCTAAATAGAAGTACTTCTTGATTTAATTAATTTGTTTTCTCCATTTTCACAGCTGTCTTCCACGGCCTGGACACTTTGACAGTCGTGGGCATTGCCTTTGCAGCCTTCGTTATTGGTGCGCTGCTGACAGGAGCACTGTGGTTTATCTATTCTCACACAGGTGAGCATGAAAATTCTCGATCTCACACACACACATGCGCGTGCGCGCACACACACACACACGCAGATCGCATAATAACATAATACGTTGACTGTGGGTCACCTGCTGGTAGCAGCCAAATGGAAGCATGTTGAGTCAGATTGGATCCAGTCTGGCACCTACCAATCATAAATAAACTGCCACAACAAATACCAACCCAGCAGAGGATAAAAAAAGCTGAGGAGCAGTGGCATAGCCTGGGTTGCCAGTACCCAGGCCCACACGGAGGAGGGAAATGTATGGAGTACACATGCGCATTCAGCTGCCTAAGGCATCCACGTCACCCAGGAGATCACAGCCACAGAGATAAGAAAACAAGAGTCATTCTGTTGTCTGGAGAGGTCACTTCCTGGTTTACACGGAGAAGCCATTTTCAACGGAGCCCAGTGACGGAAGTGTGTATTGAGGCAGCAACAAGTGCAGGAATTTTGTACCCCTAACAAATTTTGCACTCAGGCCAACCCCCCCTTCCTCCCCCCCATGCTACGCAACTGGTGGCCTGTAACTATGTTTTTGGTTTGGAAAAGGCTAAATAAGAATGAAACTATTTATGTTTGAACTGAATCTGTAAGAGGAATGGGTTTCCATTTGACTTTTCTGTATTGTTTTTATTTTAAGTGTGAGCAGCAGGGAGGAAAGACTTGCGATTGGGTTTTATTTTAGTTGTGTGCCTTGCGTGATTTGTATATTTTGGATGTTTAACTGTTTTATAAAACTGTAATAAAAATCTAAGTTTAGCAGCGGGAAAGGGTATTAAATCAAAGCAGGTCATGTTGAGCCAAGCATGGCAAGGGAGGGCTTGCTTTGTACTCTGAAAACTGAGGATCTGTTTGAATGAACAGAGGTGACAGAGGGAGACTAAAACGTGTAGCGAACATTCATTGAGAAGCTGTAATTTAAAAGAAAGGGGAGAAAAATAATTATAACCATGCCCCAGGTGTCTACCAGTCTATCCAGTTCCTCCTCTTGAATAGCTTTGGTGGAGTGGCAAAAGAAGTATTGTCAGAAAGCTGAAAAGAACTGGAAGCTAATAAAGAGGGGCACCTGCAACTTTCCCCTAGGAGATTCTCAAATGCCATCCACCTTCAGAAATGGTTTAGGGCTGTTGTTACAGCAACCGCCAGCAGACCTATTAGTTCTCAAGCCCTGTTTGCATGTTTGAAAATCCCAGGCTCCCAATGGCAACCAGGGAATGAGGCATGTGCCAAAGGAAAGAGAGGAAGGCAAAGCTGACAGAGAATAGGGGAAAAGGGACTGGCAAACCCACTCATTCAAATTCGACCCATTTTTCCAGCCACATTTCCCACCAGTTGGTGGGCATCTCACTAGCCGGTGTAGATTTATGGCTGCTAGGCTCATTCTGTGTACTGGTCTGAATGGATGGAGGCCGAGGTGCTGCAGTTGGAGGCCGTGGCAAATAATGTTCGTTCCACAAGCAGCGAAAAACTGAGTTCTCTCCCCACCTCCCTTTGGAAGAGGAGAAGGAGGATGGAGAAACGATTTAATCTCCAGCAGAGATTGGTGCCACTGAGACAAGAGGGCATAACCCCATACTTGAAAGGGGAAAATGCATCTGTGGAAAGCTGTCCGGAGAAAGGAGGAAAGGAAGAGGCGAAAGGGAGGGAGGGGGAAGAAAAAAACAAGACGATATATTTTTGGCATTCAGACTTTGACAGCTGTGCATGCCTTTTCCCCTGAAGACGAAAAGGTATTCATTCTGCACCAAGTTAAAACAAAATGTATACAGATCATATCTGGTGCGCTGTGGTTGCTGCACAGCTCTGTGTAATAGTGGAATGGGTGACAGCAAAACTGTAATAGGACCCAGCAGCTGGGAATATAGGCCAGTTTTGCAGTTTGCAGAGCACTTTCCTGGCAGAGGCTTGCAGGGGCCCTATTAAGGGAATGGAAGCAACTGTATTTTCTGTGTTTAATATGGAAATAGGGTGGCTTCCCTGCCCCCCCAGGCCGGCACTCAATGTTCCTAATTTTTAGTGCCGGGAAGCTCCACACCCCCAGCTTCCCTAAACATGGCTTTTCGCTTACAGAGATGGCTTTTGCAATGTAAGGGGAAGGACCTACAGTTAGATAAAGTACATACAGGATAAAGTGACCCATTCAAGTGAGGAACTTGAGAAAAATCCCAAAATGTGGCATGAACCCAGTAATTTCATAGAGGGCTTTCTGCTAAAAGGCACAGCAGTGCATTGTGCTACAAAAAAGCATCAGACTAAATTCTAATCTGCATTGCAGGAAATGTTGGTGTTTTTATGGATTCACACCAATAAAACTTAACACATTTAAATAAGTGTTTTGGCATATCCACCTCCCACAAGATCATTCCTAATCTAGTCCCTCAAATAAGTGTTTCACGAGAAAGATGAGGCCCTTCTCATGTCTCCAGTCGGACCCCTGAGATTTTTCCCTATTTCTACTCCTTCCTATCCCATCCCTTCTGGAGGCCTCTTGTGGAAATAAGTCACAGTTTTTCATTTTACTCAATATGGGGGAAAGGGTCACTGCGATATAGTGCAGCAAACAGAACCTAGAAAAGTCTGTGCCAGGGAGACTTGCGTTTGCATTGTTGAGCTGTGGGGCAGTCCTATATTCTTAACACAGGGCTGTTGCGAGGACAAAATGGATGCTGTCTTTGAGCTCCTTAAAACAATAGCAGGATATGAATGATATGCACATATGTAAATTAGAATCACAAATTAGTAGATTTGGAAAGAACCTCGAGGGTCATCCAGCCCAACTGTGATGGCAAGAAGATTGTGGAGATGTTCCTTGTAAGACCAAACTCTTTCTCCCTCCCCTCCTGTTTGTTTCCTCCAGGAGAACCGGCAGCAAGACAGCCAGTCCCCACATCCCCGCCGGCCTCTGAAAACAGCAGCGCAGCCCATAGTATCGGCAGCACACAAAGCACCCCCTGTTCCAGCAGCAGCGCAGCCTAACCCAGGGGACGTGATGCAAGGCCCCGGAACCACGTAGGGGAGCAGAGGTTCAAAAGGAGCTATTTGTTGCCGTTCGCTTTGAAAGGATTGGTTTGGATTCTTTGGCAGAACGAGGAAGGATTTCCTTTGTGGTCCTCAAACTTCTTGCAGCATGCTCTAGGCTCACACACGACAAAGCTACTATTTGCAGGCAGCTGTGGATTGCGCAGAAAACATCCGCAGGCTCTCGACGCAGACGCTAGCCGGTTCCCCCGCCATAAACGCTGCGTTGTCTTTACAGAATCATAAGCACTAGGTTCCGCAAATGTCAAGGAGACACGAGGTGTGTCTGTAAAGGGATTTCAGTCTCATAAGCTGGGGGGAAAGGTTTTGTTTTCTGTCTCGTTTGATCCGGGGATTCCGCCTCACCAGAACGAGAAAGCTTCCAGCTCAGAGGATTACCCGTTGCCATTATCGCAATATATACATCTTGATCGTTTCTGTGGTTTTTGAGCTTAACTCAGTGCTGTGTTTGGCCCACCATTATCTTGTCTGCCACATCAGGGATTTGCCTTTGCCATCCTTTAGCAAACAGAAACTAATGTTTCCATACATAACATGGCGTGTGGGACATGTGTTGATTTGAAATTCCTGATGACTTCCGTATACGTCTGTTTATCCATCCCAAAGCCTGCTTGGAAGCATAATGCAACACTTACTGCCATTTCAGTTTCTTAATTTATTTTTTATTAATTGGAGCTACCAACCTTTGCATAGGACTGAGCCCAAAAGTATTTTACAGTACAATGTCTGCCACCTGCTACAAGTAGGCCAGCAATTTGCATACAATTTGCATGCAAAGCCACATGGCGCCAATGCACACGTGCAGCTCCTGCACGTACAACAGCTTCTCTTTTCACTGCTTCCTACGAGCATTTCCATTGTGTGTGCAGAACCTTCCCTGAAATTATGGTGAATGTGGGGTACTTGTATATGCCCCAAGTGCTGTGTCCATACTGAAAAACCCATGGGGCTGTAACTTGGGGTTATTGCACGTAATATTAAAACCACATGTGAATGATGAGCACTTGTGTGCTCCAAGGTGCGATTGGTTAAGGACCAGTTTTGAACCTTTGGCCCCTGAATATACTTCTGCAAATGTGGTCATTGCCAAAATTCAGGAAAATGTAGATAAATATAGTCCTATTTGTTGTAGGACTAAGCCTTTTGGGGTTTTTTGATTCACAGTGATCTAGAAGCACATTTTTCGACCTGCCAATGAGTGCAAGTGTTTCTAGTTGTGATGTGCAGACAACTACAGCTCTGTGTTTTGGGACTGGTCCACAAAATATACATAGATATCATTGTCTTTTTTGCTGTATATAATCTACAATTAGCTTATTGTTTTCAAAAATTCTTAGGTCAGAACTTCATTCTTTGCTTCTTCTAAGTTTTCAAAAATTTTGTGGTGATTTTTTTTTTTAAGTGTCGAGAGGAGAAAACTATTGAGCTGATTGTTTTGTATGACTCACCATGAATAGGAATGGAAGGGTTCCTTAAAAGCCCCTTTATGGTTTGTATCCAGTTGCTTGTTAGTCATCGCAACGTTGCAATTGGATATCTCCCAAAGTAGCATTTGGAATGCAAAAAAGAGCAAGCCGGTACTAATTTTCATAATATTTTTTATAACTCTCGCCTCCCGCTAGCCTTAAAGTACCTCCCAAATGAAAACCAAAGCTTGCAATTTGAAACTGTAGGAATATTGAGTTGTCGTTTTGTGAGCTGAAACAGAGTCTCCTGAATCCTCCTCCTTGAAAACAAAATAAGAAATATTCTCCCTTTGCAAACAGTTCACATAACCTTCAATGAATATGGCTTTTTTGTTGTGTTTGGCCTTGCTGTAGCAGGAGGCACAGCAGGGCTTTTCTGAAGCAGGTCTGATCTCTCCCCTTGCTTCCGGGGGACCAGGGCCCATCTGAGAGGTGGCGGAACGCCCTTGTGGCATGTTCCAGCTGGAGGGGAAAGCCCTGCCTAGATATAACACAGGGCTAGGTCCTCTGTTGCCCTTAACCCGAACCACCCTTTTAGCCTATTGGGTTTTACACTGGCAAAGGTGACAAAACTTCACAGGGGCTGGTGAACCAACAGATAAAAAGGCTCTTGGCCTATTCGGAATATATCGAAAATAAATAAATTTGAACTTACATAATTCACATTCTCCAAAGTGTTTGCGGGGTTGGATTAGTGGGAGGTATCTGGATAAGCAATATGCTACCTGTGTATTTAAAAAGAATGCGCTTTGCCTAACCTTCAGCTGAATGTATTAGATAATCATATTCTATGTATGAAAACCTTTAAAATGTCTTCAAAGAAGACTAGAGTCTTTTAAGTCCATCATAGCTATATTTTACTACATTAAATGTGGGCATAAATATAAATATATATAGATATATATTTAAATATAAGTGGCTTTATATAAGATGTTTAATTTCAGTTACTGTGAATTCTACGGTTTTATACTCTCTTTCTCTGCCCTCTTCTAACCCTTCTCCCCCCACCCCCAAGATTTTATTAAAACCAGAGATATTATTGGAAGTATTATAAACTTGGTTGTTGGAATGAAAGGTTACATTTTTGTGTAAAATAATTAAATGTATATTTTTGAGAGAAAGAGATGCTGCATTATCAATATTTCTATCAAAATTGACTCTGAAAACCTGGATCTATCTTTACAGACATACAGAACCAAAACAGGCAATATTTACAAGCAGAGAAATGACATTTTTCTAGGCTTATGTTCAAGATTATAATTAATTCATTGACCGCGATGCACTTAATTGTGAATGCTTCAGAATGCTCACTTTATTATATACTGATTTTTTTAATTATACTTACTTAAAAGGAAAGTTATGGAGCTAATGGAAAATTCCTGTTGGTTAATTGACAGTAGAGCAAATGCCAGATGCAAATGGTATCCCTAAAAAATTTATGCTGTCTACACATCCCGAGATATGCATGCACTAGGATGCATAAGCACATCTCTGGTTCCCATGGGCTGCTCCATTAGACTGGAGGAGCAAAAGACATGTGTTCATTTCATGTGTGGTTTGGATCCATTCCTGGAAATTAAAAGGAAGTTCTTGTGAATGAGAGAATTCCATACCTGCATTGCAGCTCTGTGCTCATCACTGGTAAAAGGTGTAAACCACAAAGCCATTTGGTTCAAAGTATTGCAGTTGTTTTCCAGGGTGAGCTGTCAAGTCCTTATATTAGCAACAGTGGAGGGCTGAGTTATGCTTTTGTAATATACCAGGCATGTACTAAGAAAGGGAATTTATGAACAGATACCTTTGCCATAAGAGAGAACAATGGTTTCTTCCAATGCCATTGAAGTCTATTTTTATGCTACAAATGTAAGCTCTACGTTTTGAAGTCCTTTATTATTTCCTGCAAGCTTCTTTTCATGTTTGGTGTTGTTTTCATTTCATGTTGTATAGTAGTGTTTTTGAGAACTTTACATTGTCTCACTGACAAAGTGTTAAACCAGGCACCCCCAAACTTGGCCCTCCAGCTGTTTTGGGACCACAATTCTGATCACCCCTGACCACTGGTCCTGTTAGCTAGGGATGCTGGGAATTGTAGTCCCAAAACAGCTGGAGGGCCAAGTTTGGGGATGCCTGGTTAAACTGTACAAGTGGCCAGCCTGCACCTCAGTGTGTTCAGTGTGTCTGAAAGGAAATTTCTTCCATTTTGAGTTTCACATTTCAGAATGATTTTGGAAGTTCAAGCATATCATAGCTTCTGGGTCACCTCTAACTACAGGGGTGTAGAATTCAAAGTAATTATGAGGTTAGTGAGGCTGGACTTTCCTTTGCAGAAGCCATACTGTTTCTTCTTTGACAAAGCTTGTTCTTCAGTATATCCAACAAACTCAATGTTAATATCATCTTCTAATAGTTTACTTGTCTAGGGAGACAGGTCTCCGATTTCCTGGTTTCTCCCTCCCTGTTTCCTTTTTTAAATTGCTCTTGCGTCGGCTACCTTCCAGTTTTGAAGGCTGGTTTTAATAGGCTGCATATTTTTGTTGAAAGTGCGGACATTTCACACTTGAATTCTTCACAGACTATCAGGTGAATGCCCGGCCAACTTGTTAATTTGGAATTTGTCAAATAGCTTTAAGACATCACCTTTTGTTACCACCATTTGCCATTGATTACTCTTCAGGCACCCTCGATAAAAAGCAAGGCATGTCCCTCACAACACTTGCCCGGCCAACACAGATAGAAAGAATTCATCCTGTTTTTCGTCTCCTCCTCCTTTCATACCCTGTGACATACATAGCTCATTTCCTGTTTCAGATACATTAACAGATCAAGATATTGGATTTTTTAATGCTATAGCAATTAGCTCCTCATAGTCCTCGTTTGCTTGCCTTATCATCAACTTGCCTTTGCACAATGCTTGCCAGTCCCACTTAAGCTACTAAAATTGGGAAGGCAGGATTAAGGTTTTAGGAGAAATGACTTCTCACTTGTAAAGCTGTTTCTCCTCCCAGAACCTGCATACACGCCTGAGTACTTTGCTTGTTTTCCCTTACAGTATCTAATCACTCACGTTTGACTTTTCAGATATCTTTGCATTGAGCAGCTGTTACTTTAAGGTCGCATAAAGTCAACATGTCACACATTGTGTAGGGTTGACACAGAGGGTGGATCTAGACACAGGTTTAAAATGCTGTAGATAAGTCAGAAATTAAATTGTTACAACAAGAGAAGAAGAAAAAGCCGATGTAAAAATCCATATAAACTCATTTTCTTTGCTCTCCGGCGCCATCTGGTGTTGGATGTTTATAATGCATTCAAAACGTATTATTGTGACGAATGTAGCCGACTCCAGAGTTCTGTGTATTACTTTGAAAGAGGATTGTATGTTGATTCCCACCCCCCAAAAAATGTTTATGATGATGTGTTCTTGTCTTTTCTATGTGCATCTACCTCATGCTTCAAAAGAAGACCCTACTG